AAAATAAAGGGAGAGGACCTGAAATGAGTGACCACAGGACACAGAACCCTGCAAGACAAACAGCAGCATCTGCGAGAACAGGTTGTGCTGGGATCTACAAGCAGTGCTGGCTGCTGTAGCTGCTGCTCAGACTGAGAAGGCTGGGAGTGCTGCAGGAATGCTGTACCTTTTCATTTACCTGCTTACTGTGACAATTTCCTGCAACAGCAATAAATGGATTAATGATAAAGTGGCTATGGGACAGGCTCTAGGGATTGCTCTGGTCAATAGTAAAAAAAAAAAAAGAAGTTCAGCTTGGCTTCTTCTTTTGAGTATGGGGGAGAAACAGTGAAGGAAGGCAACGGATGGTAAAGCCAATTAGGCCGTCCTGCATGAAGATCTGAAAAAGATGGACTGGGAGAAAAGGAAAAGGCACAATTGAGTAAGGAGACCATGTACACTCACTCCTGCACTGGGATATTCCTGTTTTGTATTCTGTCAGCCTGAGACCCATTAGTTTTCGTTTCTGTTGGGATTAGACACCAAACAGTGGAAAAACAAAAATCACCTCTATATTTTTTCTGCAAAGCAGCTTTTCCATTTGTGCACTACAGAGTGCTGAACAGATATAGATATTACTGCCCCCAGTGATTGGGACCTGAAAGCACATCAAGCTTATGTGATGTGCCCAAGGTCACAGAATGAGTCAGTGGAAGAGGCAGGAATACAACTCAGGGTCTCCAGACTCCCCACACTGCATGGCAGCTCCTCTTCTGTACAAAGGTCTCTCTGAAGTTTGGAAGTAGGAAATATTTTATTTATGCTGATGTGTAAAAATCAAGTGTTTCTGGGATCCAACAGTAGGAGAAGAGGATGCAGCATTTTCACGTTGTCAAACCTGCATCATCAGAACAGCACAAACCATCTGTCTTGAAGCAGTTTTCTCTTTTCCTGTGCTATAACAGAAACCCATTTCCTTTTGTCCACTCTCTGTTGACAGCGTTAGTTTTCTTGTTGATGAATGAGGCATAGTACTGCACACAGAATTGCCTTAAGGCTCACACTGTCTGCACTGATGATGTGTACACTCTGGGCAATCCTCTTGACTAATGTCCAGATTGGAATCCACTACTACATACCCATGCATTCAGATCCCTACCGTTGATGAACAAAGTGTAATTTTCCCATCTGGTCTTACATAAAAACTGAACAATTAGGCTGAGAAACAAGAAAATACCATTCAATTTTATATTACAGGTTTCCCTTAATTTATGCAGGTTTTTTATATGCAAATTCACTCTTATGCGATGAGCATATTTAGACCCATAATTCGTTATATGTGAGGTAAATTCACTGTTATGTGATCAGCATAGATGCCCCCCCCGCCCAAGCAGGTAAGTCTGTGGGGGGAGGGGAAACGGCCGTGGCCCCACTCAGCCCAGCCCCAGCCCCAGCCCCAGCTGCAGCGGCTCCCGGGAGTGGCCAGGGCCAGCTGCCTGCAGCCGCTGGGCCGCACCGTCCTCCGCCTCTCCCCCAGGTCCTGGGCTGCGCTGTGCCATGGTGCAGAAAGCTGGTGTCGGCTGCTCCCGGGGCTGCTGCAGCACGGGCTGGGGTGAGTGCAGACAAGCAGAGCTCCGGCCAATGTGGGGCGTAGCACTCGCCCCAGCCCCGGCTGGAGCGGCCCCAGGGGGCAGCTGACACCAGCTGCCTGCACCAGGGCACAGCACAGCCCAGAAGCGGAGGTGACTGGGGACAGGCGGAGCATGGAGCAGCCCAGCAGCTGCCGGCAGCTGGCGCCGGCCGCTCCCAGAGCCGCTGCACACAGGGATGGAGCGAGTGCTGCTCTGTTCCCTCCGCTTTGCTGCCTTGTGAAGCCCTGGGAGTGGCACCCCTTTCCCCGCCCCTTCCCTAGTCCCAGCCTCCCTCCCTCCCTCACCTCCATGGGAACCTATCCCTCTTTGTTACACTGTAAAGTGGGTTCGCTTTATGCAAATTTGATTTATGCACCGTTCTCCAGGAACGCAGGCACAGCGTAAATCGAGGGAAACCTGTATACAGGTCCTTATACTATCCTCCTCATCATCACTATAATATCATTGTAATGATTAGTGCCCAGACAATGTTTGTGTGGACAGCTTTAGGGTCAATCCAGGGCTAATGGACATGACACTGGTGCTAAGAGATTATGCTGAAGAGTTTGAATATACTAGAATCTGGGAAACTTTACCTTCTGGGAAAAATAATCATAATGGAAAGGAAGGAAAAGGAAACCACTTGTATAAGAAGGTGCTCTAATAAGTTGCAAAAAAAACTGTCTGACTTGAAGCAAAGATTCTTTCTGCATCATTCTTCAAATAACATATGAGAGATTTGACTAAAAATAGGTCAAATAATCTTCTATTAATTAGGAACTTATTCAGCATTGCTTGTCTCTTGCAATTTGATGTCATCGAAATCCAGCAAAACCTATCAATTGCTTATGCAAATAGGCTCTTCCCCCTCAAGGACTGCATGCATAAATGTAATCCATGGTCTCTTGCTGCTGGCTGTAACTCCAGTAATGACCACTGACATTGCTATATCCAGAAATGATAAACAGTTATAACAATCCTTCATACAGAGTGACAAAGCAAACACTGGATGTGTACTGAACGCAGTCAGAGAACGCCAGATTCACTTCTTTGTTCAGAATGAATCACTCAATGAACAGGATGGCAGGAACACAATAAAGCAGAAAGCAGGGCAGGGCAGAGTGGCACCTTAAAGACTAACTGATGCAGAGAAGCATAAGCTTTTGTATTTCATCAGATTTCGGTTACAAAAACTTCTGATAGCATGTGATGAAGTAAGCTGCTGCTTATGAAAGCTTATGCCTGTCTGAATCAGTTAGTCTATAAGGCCACCCTACCCTGCTTTCCACCTAACTTCAGACTAATATAGCTAGCTGCTTCTCTAGGAACACAATAGTTATCATAGCTATATCATATTGGAGTCTGTCCATGTAGTCTAAAATTTTGCTTCTAGAAGTGTAACTATTAACACCTGGTGCTTATGAGGAAGATTTAAGAGACATCACATAATACATTCTGGGCCTAATTCCAAACAGAATGAAATCAATGGAAGTTATTCCACTGAAAACAGGCTCTGGATCCATGCCTTCAATACAGGATCCAGGCAATTATTGGGAGAGCCAGGGATTACAAGGTGCTATGATGTCTATATAAGCTATTTAGGCTACACCAAATCTGAGTTTGACAAATGAATGGAATAATGAAGGAAAGTCTACAATGATCACCTATCAAAGACAGAATTTGATGCATACCATTGGCATTGACCAATTTATTTAACTAAATCTTTTCAGCCTTTTAAGAACATCATGGGATCCCAATAAATGTTCCGCTTCTCAAGAGAAGCATTTTAAAATCAATTATAAGACTTCCGCTTTCAAAGAACATTTCCCAAGGTCACTTAGGGTCATTTCTCCACTTTCATATATTGAATTACAAGGTAAAAATGGGGCGGGAGAAGGAAAGACATTTCTGGTCAGATGCTCTCTGGGGGTACAAAGTCTCCCTGCTCCTCCTCATCCCTTTGGGTACTTCCAATTTAAGATGGGCAAGTATTCTGGAACCTGCTCTGTTACCCGCCCCTTCAGGGGGTTTGGGCACTTTAATGAGAAACCATTTCTGGGGCTCCCTAGGAAGAATCATTCTGACAGATGACATTAACATCATGGGGCCTATTGTTGCTGTAATAGGATTCCACCAATCAAATACCATAGGTTTGCACAGAGCATTCCCTATGCACTCATCACAGGTATGTGAGCAGATGCTAGACACATTCTCATTTTCCACTGTGGATGGAGAGGGGCATGCATTTCCTCCCCTGATATATGAAAAGCAAATGCAGCAAATGGAAATAACTATTTTCTCTATTTCCACTGCTGTCTGGGTGTCTCAATGTCATTTTAAATGAGCCTATGACAAGCTGTCCCCAATGGGCAAAGTTCTTGGCCTTCATTAAATAGGATTCAGGAAGGAATGTGTCTTGATTATACAATAAATAACACTTACCTTGCATGAGAAGTCATTTTGAACCAAACTAATCTAATGGAGAACCATGCCTCATTTGACACAAATGGAATGAACATTAGCTCTCTCTACATAGGTTCACCATCTGATATGTACTTCTTTTCCTCTCCCATTTTGTTAGATCTATAGGCTGTTGGACTGCAACACAGCTCCAGGGTCACTACAGTCAGACCTCTGCTATGCCAAGCAACCATTTCATACAATCCCACTCAGAAATTTATCACACTTCATCTTACAGGTTGGGTTTTTTGCCTTGACTACTGGAAGGATTACAGGTTTTCACCCTTCTGATGATTAGAAACTGCTTAAACTTATTCAGGGCCATCATCAGCCCATTTATTTTTGTACCAACAACATGGTAGCTTAGCATAAATAGTTATTCTCCCTCCTGACACTTACTCTTTTGATGTATTTATAGAAAGCAATCCCATGCCCATTCAGACTTCTTCCAGCCTCCTCTTGTTGACTAGGCTCTCCATCGCCTCGTGATCCTGGTAGCTCACTCTGCACCTGTTCCAATTTGGGTTCAGCTTTTTTGCACATGCATGGCTAGAACTGTATCTATCTATATGCAGATAAGGTCTTAACCGGGTCTTGTACTGCTTCCCCTATCTCTACCGGGAATAACTTGCCTGATGCATTTCAGAACTGCCTGGGACAGTTTGCTTTATCTGTTTCAGCCTGTAAGCTTTGGAATAGACAATATCCCCTCCAAGAGGTTATACAACAGGGCCTTCGGTTCTGTTGCGATCTCCAGAATTTTTTATCATTCAAATAAATAAAAGCGTCACCACTGTAAGTATAGCAATGTTTATCAGAAATGCCTGGCGCACAGGGAAATGCACAAAGCTGCTGTCTCCAAAGATGCATGGCATTTTCTGCTCCCTCTGGACAGAGTCAATATTCACTCACCAGAAAACAATCACTCACCATCCTGTTGGTTACCTGAATCGGCTGGAGACTTGCTCCGGCGCATAGGGGCAGGGCTCTTTGCTGAGCTCTTCTGTGGTGTTGGGGATGACTTGCTGCCTGCAGCGGTTGAAGGGCTCCCTTTCATTACTCGGCACTCTAGTAAAGCAAATGGCAATCAGAGTTAGTCATCTTAATGGCCTTCTATATGCAGTGGGTTTAACTGATAGGAAACACATCAAGACTCAGGTATCTACAGCATGATTTAACTAAAGAACTAAAACACTCAGAAATAACATAGTGCTATATAGTCTCAAAGTCCTGTCCAGAGTCTTCTGCTTCTGGGCAGTTGGTACTTCCATGTGGGGCGCAGGGCACCAGAGTGGAGAGTCCCTCCAGGGGAGAATAGCATTAAAATCCACCTGAGCTCACCGAAGAGAGTCTCTTGCCCTCTCAGTGTGGCCTGCAAGGGATTTGAACTTCTACACTAATATTCCAGGTGGATTTACTGCCAGTGGAAACCCAGAGCCTTGGTTTTACTGGTCTCTAGCAGCCCATTAAATAATCAACACATTAATCTCCATGGCATAATGACAATGGTCAATGTACACCAGGGAAAAATTAGAATAAAGACCAGTTAATCCACCTCTTGCCCAGCTGAGGCAAGGGGAAAGGGTGATACAATGCAGCCCATGCTAATGAGGACGTGTGCAGTAAGGACAATGGCTGAAATGCACTGAGGTGTGGAGAGCTGGCACAAGGCTCCCTGCACTACTTAAGTCCCACTTATAGCTTTGCATTAAATACTTTAAGTAGGGCCTGGGCCATCTGTACCAAGGAGCGTTTCCCCCAGCCTGAACAAACCCACTTTCAGTGATGTCTCCAAGCCACAGTCTGCTGGGAGTTGCACCATGTGCAGGGAAGAAGAGTCTTACAAAAACATTTCTCGTCTCCTGTGCACTTGTTCTTTGCTGAGCAATTTATCTCTTGGACTGATGCTCTTAGGCAGAGAAGACAGCCCAATGATTTCCTTAAAATATATATATATATATATATATATATATATATATATATATA